CCCAGAGGTAAAGAATTCAGGTCTTTGGATTATAAAGGTTCACTAAACATCTAGCATTACGAGAGAAAGAAGACCCATATTTATCTCACTAGCGTGGAATTTCAGAAGTACAAGGATAGAAAAAATTCTTCTTAACACTTTCAGAAAGAAAAACCAGGTCACCTATCAAAAAGTGCGTATCAGGCTAACATCACCCATCTCATCAGCAGCCCTGGCTGGACCAATGTTAGCGTTCCAAGGCAAGATTGTTTTTATTCTACCTAGCATTTGGTACCAAGCCAAACTATACAAATGTGAAGACAAAATAAAGACATTTTCAGATGTACAAGGTTCAGAAAGTTTCCTTCTACATCACCTTTCTTAGGAAGTTACAATGTAGTAATCTAAGAAAGACAAAAACTTGAGAAAATGAAAATAGTAGGTTCAACTAGGAAAGAAATATCCCAAGATAATAGCTGTGCAGCAAAGGCTAGAGAACAACCCGTCCCAATGGGAGGGCAAGAGAGGGTTCTCAGAAGAATGGAAGGTATGGTTAAGGACTAAGAAAAAATTAAGAATAATGATTAAATTAACCTTACCATAAGAATGATGGGGGGCGGGGAACTGTTAGAAACAGTAAAAATAGAAAACTATAAGAGATTCATGGTCCAAATAGAAATCAAAGTTAAAATGTATCATTAATTTAAGCATTTCATGAAGTAGTATTTTTTTCAAGTCCCCTTGGATTGTCCTGGAAATCACTGTTATAAGCCCATATAAAAGGAAATTTAATATATTTCCTAGCCTTCATTTGACCAATGTGTTGTCATAAAAATGTGGCTGCTGTTGTATAGGCTTTCAGCTTTTCAGCATGAAGGATTTGGTTGTGGTTATAGGAGAGGATGTTAATTTTCTTAATATTAATAAAAATGTAAAAGTTCAGCTAGCAGCAGGTAGGGGGAAGTTTGAAAGAAAGAATGTCTGGGCACTATTAGCCCCCTTTTATGAAGTGGCGAGTTAGGCTTCTATCCGGAACTGATAGAAAAGACAAGAAGTTTATGTTAAAGTAATACAATTATCAGATAGTGGAGAGGAAGATGAAGGAAGGGGCATAATATAAGTGAGTCCCTTGACTTTCTTATTTTTGTCTTAAAATTAAGGAAATAATCAAAGTGCAGAAAACTAATTTTTTTAAAAAGCCTAGGTATAAGGGTGAGATTTGCTTTTCATCATAAGTGGTTCTGTCACTGATTTGTTGCCCATGTGCATGTTTGTATTAATTTGGTTTTAAAACCAAAAAAAAAAAAAAAAAATTAGGGAACGGGAGGTAATCCAAGTTAACCATGCTGAAATCAATCTTCCCTAGTGTCTTGTATTAAATTTTGTTTAAAAACAAAAAAAAAAAAAAAAAAAATTAGGGAACGGGAGGTAATCCAAGTTAACAGGCTATGTGTAGTAAGAGAATGTTGGGAGATAACACCAGTTAAGTGGTTGAGGCCATATTGCAGAGGACCTCAAATGCCAAGGTGAAGCAGTACATTTAATTTGGGAAAACTTGGAAGAGTTTTTAAGCAGTCTGTTCGTATGACTGGAACTGTCTACTTTCAGAAAATGAATTTGTCAAGAGGAATAATTGGACTGACAGGCTATGTGTAGTAAGAGAATGTTGGGAGATAACACCAGTTAAGTGGTTGAGGCCATATTGCAGAGGACCTCAAATGCCAAGGTGAAGCAGTACATTTAATTTGGGAAAACTTGGAAGAGTTTTTAAGCAGTCTGTTCGTATGACTGGAACTGTCTACTTTCAGAAAATGAATTTGTCAAGAGGAATAATTGGACTGGCAGTGGCAGAAATAGATATTATGAGTAACCAAGCTAGTTTCAGTTTTCTACAGGAAAGGTAATGAAGGATGGTACTTTGATGATGCTATTGGAGATAGGAAAAAAAAAAGAATGAAAGGTATTCCCAGTACCACATGATTGATACATAGTAGGTGTTTTAGAATATGTTTAGTGAATGAGGGAATCAGAGGGATTTTAGTAACTTGTTTAACATGAGAGGAAAGGAAGAGTAGACATTAAAGATGAAATCTTTCTTGTATAGTAACTGCTATTTATTTTGAGATTCATGGCCTGATGGCAGTTCACACTATGGCAATAAGGTTTAATCCTGTATGCTTACTGCAAAATGCAAAACATATAATTCAGTAATCCTTTCCTGCCTGTGTCACATCTTTATTTGTGACAGACAATTGTAGTAGATATTTCCTATAAAACATAAGATGACAAAATATAGCCTAATAAGTCACATCCCACTTACCCAAGAAAAAAAGTGGTAAAGCATATAGAATGTTACAGAGTATAGTTTTTCACAGCCTCATTTAAGGGCACAAATGACCGTTAGATTTCAGTTAGGTTCTTGAACAGTTAGTTTTTTCCATAGGAGGCTAACTGACACATGCTGGAATCCAACCCATGAACTTGGCCTCATGAGTTCAAGTCTGTAACAGACTAACCTTCGGAGTGAGACATGATAGCACTTTGGAGTATAGAAAAGAAAGAGGAGAACTTCTTTATAGTTTCATTTCCACTTATAATGTATGTATAATTTAGTAATACAAAAAGTACATGCATATAATTTTTAGGCCAATAAGTATATAAATATTGAGTATATGCTAAATTTTTTTTACTGATAAGGATGTGCTACCAAAAGTTCATAGACCACTTCTCTAATCAGTTTAGCTAACTGACCCAAAAGATACAGACCAGTTACAAAGACCAAGGAAATAAGTTTGTATGCTCCTGTCATTGATCTCAAATGGAGAACCACCAAGAGCCTCTGACAGTCTCAGTGTAGTGTAATGCCAAGACCTTTGTTTTAGAAGTCGTTAGAGGTCGGAAAACCTGGAATTGAGCCCTAAATCTGCCAGTTACTGGCTTGTGATCTTAATCTCTTTAAACTTCAGACTATAGAGTATTCAAACCTTTTTAAAAGATCTGTCAAATTTCTAGTGGTGAATGGAAGAGTCCATAGAGAATTCTGAAATGTTTTTGCTTGCCCCGGGGTGTACCCCGCTGTGTTATTGTCAGCCCCCTCTAACACTGATATGTAGTCAAAGACTTGTTGTGAAGCATAAATATAAAAATGAAAAAGCACCTAACCCAGGCTTGATACATGGTAGGTGCTTAATATTTGCTAGATTTTAATCTAGATATTAATCAATTACACATATATATGTTCTTTGAAAGTTTTTTTTTTTTTTAAAGAATTTGATGATTGCTGGATCATATGGTAGATCAAATAAACAGAGACCCATGGACGTGGACAATAAACTAGTGGTTACCTGAGGGTAGTGGAGGAGGGGGGAAGGAGGGAGGTAGATGGAGTAAAAGGGGTCAAATATGTGGTGACAGAAAGAAATCTAACTATGGGAGGGGAACACACAATGCAATTAATTAAAAAAAAAAGAATTTGGTGATTTGCTTCCTGTCTTTCCTAATATAGTTACAAACAAGTATCACTCTCAAGCCCTTACATACATTGGTCTCCTTTGGAGAGAAGGGGCTCCTGGGAAGGCAATAGAGCTGAGTCAGCTAATGGTTGATTCTCCCTTAATGCCCACTGTAGAGAATTGTTGTGAGACTAAAAGGAGATAGATAATGCATGTGAAATTACAAAATAAAAGACTAAACCATATTAAGGGGGTTGTTTTACTTTCAAAGTTCTGGGAGAGAGTCCAAAATGATTAAGCTGCCTAAGCAGTAGTAGGACAATCTACAAATGACATCTTCTGTCTTACAGAGTAAAATGGTGGGCTTGGGTTCCCTTTTTGTCCTCTTACAAGAGCTTTTTTTTCCTTTTGCTACCCATTTACAAAAGCTACAACATTAGGATACCCTGCTATATCTTTTTGAGAAATCTTTGTAATTCCCTATATTGCCAGCATTCTGTGAGTGTCTCAGAAAATGTTAATTGAGCTCAAATTTTTATATGGAATATCATAGTAATAAAAATAATTGTTTATGTATAAGACATTTAGATTCTGCTAATAGTACTTATGCACTAGAAAAAATAATATGGTAGGCAAAAAGAAGAAAAGATAGTCTGACAGGTTTATGTTTCTGGTATTGTTCGATTTTGTTTTACTGTAGTTTTTGGCTGTAACATACAGTATGTATCTTGATTAAATAATGTGTATCTAATTTGGTGATCTCAGAGTGAAGAAGTAATTGAAATTCTATGTAAACTGACATTCATTTTCAACCTTTCTCTTCTGATAGCTTCCCTCGGATATACTGAAACCTCCATTGTCTTTAAAAATCCTTCTTTTAACCCCGAGACCTTCCACTGTCCGATTATGCTGAATAGTCATTTTTTTCTAATCTTCCATCCAAATGTTGTCTTTTTTGATTTAATGTTTGAAGTTATTTTGTTTTGCAGTTTTAGAATTATTCTTTTTCCTCCCTCTGAGGTCTCAGGTAGTCCTAGAAATAGATCATAACTTAGATATTTAGAACAGAATAAATTTCAGTATACTAACTCAGATGGCCTTGCTAGGGGTAGAAATCTCCGCTTTTATCCTGGGTTATTTTTCAACTCCTCTCACCAATAAACAGGGTTTTTGTGTGTATAGCATTAGGTCTACTTAATAACAACCACATGTCAGAGCACAGCAGATTACTCTGATCTGTTTTCAGACTTCTTTACACTCTCTACCCTCACCCCATAAAAACTATTCTAATTATCTCCCATAAGAAGACTTGGAAATACTCAGTGCTAATGTTATATAGAGATTAAATTGGCCTGTGTGGTAGGCTGGTATTATTCTGTCTCTGACATTTAACTTGAAAGTATGTTTGCTTGGCATGTATTTTCTGTTTACTTGGTGGGTTAGTAAAAGGTGATTTGTGTATGTTAATCTGAGGATTTCTGATATGATACACTAAATTTATATTGCTTGATTAAAAGCTGGAGAAAGTGGCTCTAATTCTGTTTTCTCCCCTTATATTTGCATCAACAGGAAGAAGGCAGTATCAAAGAAATTGCAATCACACATCATGTAAAGGAAGGACATGAAAAGGCAGATCCTTCCCAGTTTGAACTTTTAAAAGTATTAGGGCAGGGATCATTTGGAAAGGTAAGTTGTGAGTATGTGCGTTTTGAAAAGTCTTTTTTTGGAATTCGGGTATACTTCAGAAAGGGAACAGAAATATTTTATGAAATACTACCAATTTCCTTACAAGCTGTATTTTCTGTTTTTACATTTTTCACCATCAGTAAGTATGGAAAAGTTAATAAAATCATTCAAACATACATTGAAAGCTTTTATAAATTGACAGTATTCACTTCATATTTATTTTATCTTCAAGACTACAGGACCTCTCTAATTGCACTTCTTGAATGGTGAAAAGTCACAAAATATTCCTTTGATACACTGGCCTCTTTTCGAGTCTTCGTGTAGAATTAGAAGGTGCTATACATTATAACAGTGCATCTCAATCTTTCCTCCAGAGCATCCCTAATACCAGCAGAAAGCGAATGGGTTCTTCCAAGGAACTAGGGTGGGGGGTTATCACTACAAGTATGAAATTCGGGGGACTTATAGCTTACCTTTACAATGAATGCAAAGGTTGCATTCTATCAATGATATCTGTGTTTGTTTTAATATCAAAAAATATTTTCCAAACACCAACTAAAAATTGCTCTAGCAGATGTAACATCTTTATCATTTTCTTCGAGTATTCCTTGTTCCCCTGCTGCACACCTCAGGAACACTTCCTGTACTCCATTTTGAAAAGTACACCATTAGAATTACTACTACTTGGTCTATCTAGTCTATTTCTCAGCAAGACGAAAATTCTGAGATTGCATTCAACTTTCACATTGCAGTGTTTCCTTACCATCTCTCTGTAAGGAAATGTTCAAAGATATCGTGCTTTGCAAGCTCCAAAACAATACCAGTTTAATCTCTCTTGTATATTTTAATGTGACTAGTTAGCAATTCTTGGCTAACATAGGTAATTTGTTAGAACTGTTAACTTCTTTCAAACCCAGAGTGGTGTTTTTAATCCAGATATAGATTAAGTAGCCAGTAGAACATGATAGTTGCAAGTTTGGGCTCTAGGTCAGCCAGACTTGGATTCATTTTTTTTCTTCTACTTGTTATATGTGCTTGAGCAAGTTATATAACCTCATAGAGCCCCGTTTTTCTCTTCTAGCCAGTCATTAAGTATTGAAGTTCCTCAAAGTTCCATTTTAGGCTGCCTTCTCCTCACTCTATGCTCCTTATTAATTAATTATTTTCTCTATTCCCACTATCTTAATTACAACCCATATATGGCCAACGTAACAGATTTATATCCCCAATCTAGATCATGCCCCCAAGTTCCGAACTCTGTGTACATACAGCTGGTTATTCTTTTCTCTTCACATTGCAAAGGCAGTTTAAACTCAACATGTCTAAAACCAAACTCATGATTTTTCCCCTAACCCCCACCAAACCTGTTCTATTTCATATTTCTCTGTCACTATGAATAGTTAAATAAGCCAGAAACCTGGGAGGCATTCGTGACATATCCTTCTAGTCCTCCCCTTCCCCCCTTCACAGCCCCCACCACCAGTCTGACTTGTCAGCAAGTCCTGTGGATTTAGTAAAGATATCTCAAATTGTGCCTGTCCTCTCCTCCACTGCCACTCCTCCATCCAGTGTGTGCCACCACCATTTCTCCCTGGCCTATTGAAGGAGGCTCCTTACTGCTGCTTCCTAAATTTATTCTTACCTGAAGCCATTTTTTACATGACAGCTAACTTGAGCTAACCTTATGCTCCACCCCCTTGACCCTTTAGTAGACTCTCTTTGCTTTTAGGATAAAGACAATTCTTAAGATGGCTGAGGAGCCCCTAGGTAGGGCCCCTGGCTATCTCAGCATCACTTTATATACTTTTCAGCGTCTATGTTCTGGTCACGTTGGTTTTCCTTTTAGGAAGTCCTTTAGCACCAGGCTCCATCCCACTAGAAAGCCTTTGCACATGCTGTTCTTTTTGCCTGAAACATTGCACCCCACCACCACGCCTTCCTTATCTGGTTAGCTCTTCTCATACTTATGATCTCAAAGAAGTCATCCCTACCATCCCGACTAGGTCATATTCCTCTGTTTTACTCTCTCAGAATATTATATACCTCATCTTCACAAAACTCACCACAATTGCAGTTTTTTTCATTTCTATAATTATTTGTTTATTGGCTGTCTCCCCCATTAGACTAAATGTTCCATGAGTGCAGGGGCAATGCCTTGTACTATGTCTCAGCATTGAACTGGTAGCACAATACCTAGCATGTAATTCTGGAAAGAATTAATGAGTAAATAATAGTCCTGGCCTCATAGGGTAGTAGTGAGCATTAAATGATATAAGGCCAAGCACATAGCGTCTGTGAAATTGTATTATCATGCAATGTATATGGATAAGCCCAAATAGATGGGTTTATTTCTATACAACAGATTTTCAGTGAACACAGCATTTAAGTTTCCAGGAGTTAGCGTGCTTCTCCTTTTATTTTTTTTAAATACCTTACTATAAATAGCAAACATTAAAAATAGGGCGTCTCCTTTCTTACTCATCCTAAAAAGCTGCTCCAAGCCAAGGAAACAGGGATGACCTGTCAGAGCCTAGAATAGCTTCATGGGGGAGTTCGAAAGGTCAGAAATTTTCTGGTCGGGGAAGATCCGATGGCATCTGGGACTGCTGCTACTCCTGCTGTGCTTGACTTGTAACCAAAGGGACCGCATTAAGAGCGCCCTGAGCAGGGGCACGAAACTGGATAGCTGGCCGGTTCTTTGTCTCAATACTTCCATTGTGACTCTAGACAAATTGTTTAATATCTCTAAGCCCTAGCTTGGGCAGCTATAAAATAGGCATTATTTAGTAGGCTTGTCTCCCAAAATTATCATGATGATTAAAATATTAAAAATGCTTGTGAAGGTCCTTTGCAAAGTAAAAAGTGCTGACGAGTGTTAAGACTGTGCTTTCAAAGGAGGGTAAAGAAAGTTTGGAAACCACAAGAATTTTTCTTGTAGAGTGGCACAAAGAAGCTTGATTAGGGAATCTTAAGAATGAATAAATATCAGATAAATCCTAATTACCTTCACCTAATTAGAATTTATCTGTTCGAAAATATTAATAATCTCTGATAACTTTCAACATTTGAACATCATTCCCTGTTTGGGACCACCCTGATTAAGAATGCTTTTCTCTTCCTAGGTTGGCTCACTGCTAACTGACTGAAAAGAACTGAAGGGTGGGGCATGGTGAAGGGGGTGAGGGGCATGATTTGGGGAGAGGAACACACCCTGCATCAGAGTTTCTGTGCTAGTGGTGGTGCGCTTCACTTGATTTGCGGTCATTGCCCATTGCCTTTGGCACAATTTCTCAAAGTGAGGAACTCTGCCTTGCACTAGAATCTGTTGAACGAATCACGTTTATTTTGTGCTAATAGCCTGACATGCTAATGCGGGTAATGGAGAACTGACCCTAAAGTTAATTCTTGATTGTAATTGCTTCTCTTCCCATCTGTGGCACCTCTCAGTAGAGAAAAAGAGTTGAAATTCAGGTCCATTTAGCAGGTCTGTTTAAAGGTTTGATGGAAAAGATTATGAAACTAATGGTCAAAATAAGTAGAAAAGATTTATCGATAGTTTTGTATTAGCCGTGTTATAGCAGGACCATGAATTGTTTAGAGCAGGCTTTATTCATTTTGTATAAATCCCACATTATATGTCAAAAGGAGGTGAAAATATTTTTTAAATGAAAATGCTCAATAACATACCTGGGAATTATTTCTTCATATTTAGGCATATGTGATTATTTGATTTTTAAAAGGTGGGGAGTCAAAGTTCTTAAGTTACATTAAATATTTGTGAATAGGTTTCTTTAGTTTTTTGTTTTGTTTTTTTTTTAATACCTGCAGCACCTGGTATTCCTAGGTGGTCTCCCATCCAAGTACTAACCAGGCCTGACGCTGCTTAGCTTCCGAGATCAGACACGATCAGGCATGTTCAGGGTAGCATGGCTGTAGACTCTTTAGTGTTTTTAATTGGTTTTCCCAGCAGTGATAAATTTATGTAGTTTTTTGTATAGAGGAAAGACCATTCATCAGTGAATAGTTATATCAACAGAAAATTATAATCAAAGGGAGCTCCTGTATAACAATTTTTATGGAATCAGAAAAGGTTTTGTTTTGTTAAAGAACAGAGTTCACAGCTGAAACTTATTGGATTTCGTTAACCAATGTCACCATAAAAATAAGTAAATAAATAAATAAATAAATGTTTTTGAAAAGGCATAGTTATCACCACCTGTGTTATACTTTAAACATGTTAGACTTTAATTACTACATAGTTTAAAGATTTTTGTTTCTGTCTTATGTTACATGCTCTTTGGAAACTGGCAGACAACAAAAAGGAAGAAAGAAATGTATTCACTTATATTGACATCCCAAGTTATAACCACTGTTTACAACTCATTGTATTTATAATTGATACATTTTAAGGAAAATAGTTGATCTATAATATATCAGAATCTAATAATAAACTATATTATAGCAGGGGTCTTATTTTAATAATGGTATGGTTTGTGACACTTCATAAAACTTATTTTCTTTTATTTAAATGCAGGTTTTCTTAGTCAAAAAAATCTCAGGCTCTGATGCTAGACAGCTTTATGCCATGAAAGTGTTGAAGAAGGCCACACTGAAAGGTAAATGCTGCTGCTACTATTTGTAATGTTCATGTAATATAAACAAACTGAAAGGTCTCAATAGACCTCATGTGATTCCTAGGCTACTGACATTCTGAATCTGTTCCTGTTACAGTGTTTAAATTTAGACTTTCTTTTAGTGAATTTTTCCTATTGGACTAGGAATCATGTGAATCAACTGAAGTTACCATGTTATAAAAAAAAAAAAGTATAAATTCATCTTGGGCTTTAGGCATGTAGAAGTTTAGAAGATTAAAGCTAGGTTGCATTCATCTTCAAATTATATAGTTTTCTTACTGTTTTACTGGATGCAAAATAGATTTTGTTCTAAGGACTTTATTACTTTGACTTCTGGTCTCCAAATAAGTTTTTATTCCAAGCCTCTGATTTTGAAAAACCTAATGTAAGATTTGGCTCTTATAGGTAAACAGTCATTTAAAAGAAATTGTATATAGATTTTAAAACACTTAAATCTTCCTTTTATTTGATAGTATCAGTTATTTTACCACATAACCTCTAGTGGTTTACGTATGGATTCCTAACATCATTTTTTTCCTCTTCAATTCACCTACAATTTCTAAAATTTCTAAAATATTCTGGAAGGAACATTGGTAACGATCATTTATTATTTCTGGTATTATTCTTCCCAATTAGTCACCCACTCTGGATATTATCATCATTCCGAGAAATTTTACCCTGCTCTATAAATCGTCCTTTGCTTCCTTTCTGTTGCTACCTTCCTTAAATGTATTTTGTTTCTTTCCTACCTAGTCTCTTCCTCCTGGCCTAGTACTTCACTTGATTCTTGCTAGGACCGGGGAATTAAATTATATCCTCAGTGCCCTACTTCATATCACTACTTTTATAACTTTATACTCATGAATCCCATTAGTTATAAAACTGCATAGATGGAATTTATATGAGAGTTCATTTGCAAAATCAATACAAATAGTTTGTTTTCATGTATTTAACATGACTTGCGTTGTGCATAATATATGTAAAGGAAACTGCAAAACTCTGAAAAACCTAAAAAATACTAGGAAAGGAAATAAATTCCCAGTTCCTTTTAGAGAAAGCTAACTGTTGTTAAAGAATCTCAATATTCCTCTAGTCATCCATTTAGCTCCGTATCCTCAAGATTCCAGTTGCATTTTTCTTGAAACATTCAAAATTTCATTTGAAAAGCATATACCTCAAAGAGTATTCTAAACAAAAGAAGAATGAGAAAGGAATAGCTCTGTCAGGTTTAAAGCTTATTTAAAGCAGTAATAAAGCAGGAATAATACAGTCATATAAATCAGTGGAACAAAACAGTACAAAAGTATTACATATTAAATTTTAATGTATCCGTTGCAAAGATATTAGTATTTCTCGTGCTGTATGACCAAGCAGGTATACAAACAATGGGAACTTAAATGATGATTTCATAAATTTTGTCCGAAGTACTCCTGAGCAATTGGGGAAAATTAGAGTCTCCTCTTAAACCCTATACCGTGATAAACGATAATCTAACTGAATTTTATAACTTAACACATCTAGAAAACTTCTGAAGCGATATTGAGCAAATTACAAACAAATTGACAGTACAAAAAAACTTAGTCTTTCATACAATGAAAAATAGTACAAATAGGAAATCAAGAAATTGTTTGCCTCAAACATTACAAAATTTTAATATACAGAATTGATTAAAGAGCTCTTACTAGCTAAATCTAGGACAATGTTAACATTTCAATAAATAATAGCATTGATAGATTACAACCCACTGAATAAAATAAGAACCCACAAGTTAATCCATAAATTAATGGGGAAGAAGGGAAAGTATTTTCTTATGGTAAAATTCTAACTAATAAATGTAAAAGATGTGATTGAGTTAGGAGTTCTTAAGAAATAACATTACAACCTCCACCTAAAGGATTTCAGAATAGATTTTATGCGAGGGAATAAAAGAAATAATCTTTGGAAAAATGTTCTGTTTTGCTGATAAACAAATGCATATAAAATAATGAGTTATCATTTCATATGATGGCAACATAAATTGGAAAGCAGTTTTGCAATAAGTACAGAGAGGTGTATTGCTGCTAAGTTCACCTGAGGAAATAATCTCAAAAGAGTTCATGCACTTGAAAACTCTCATTGTAACATTATTTACAATATCGAGAATTTAGAAATTACATAAATCTTGAAAAATAAAGAAATGTTAGAAAATTATGGACTACCACTTAATAGGATATTATTTCAATGAAATATTTTAAATGTAATCACAAAAACAAACTTAATTAAAACTATGTGAACAATTATAACAGATTTGGCTACTGTAAGTATGTAAAATTACATAGATAGAGAAGAGACCATAGAAAAATGAAAATATTTGACTTATTGGAATTGCAGGCTGCTTTATAATTCTTAATCTGTCCTTAAATTTAATTTTTATCAAATTAATTGCAGTGCTTTTACCCAGCCTCCTCCCTATCCCAATTCTTGACCCCCAGAAGCAGCGACTTCCATCTCTTTAGCTGCTGCTTTTGCCATTTACCTCCACATTTATATTCCAATTCTTATATTCCAATTCTTTGTTTTCATTTGGAGACATAATCTATGTCTTGACTTCCTAACATGGAAGATTAGGATTTATTTCTCTTATACTACTCCTCACACACCACTTCCCTTTTCATGTTTTGTTTTCATTATTACAGCTTTATAAAAATTGATGCTAGCTGAGCCAAATAGTATACTGGAGTCACATTTCCTTCACATCTTTGCTGTGTTAGATATCCTTTCCTAAATTCTTTATCTACCTTTTTCTCAATTTACTTTCTAGTTTTGGTGGAAACACATTATCTAGTAAATACCTCAGAAAGAGTGAATGGATGGTAAATTTTTTGTGGTGTTGCTTGTCTGAAATGCCTTTATTTAACCCCCCCTCCAGCCCCCGCTTAATTTATAATTTGGCTGGGCGTAAAATTCTAAGTCAGACATAATTTTCCCTTAGATATTGGAAGGCATTGTTTCCATTGTCTTCTAGTTTCCTGTGTTGTAATTATGAAGTTCATTGCCATTCTGATTCCCAGTCCATTGTGTGTAAGCTGCTTTTCCTCTTTGGAAGTCTTTAGAATCAGTCTATTCTTTATACCTGGTGTTCTGAAATTTGTATAGTGGTATTTCTTATTGTTGGTTTTTAAAATTCATCATGCAAAATATGGGATGGTCTCTTTCAGTCTAGAAACTTATTTCTTCAGTTTTGAGAAAGTATTCCAACCCTTCTATTGAGATTTTTTGTTTCTACCATTTTTTTTTAATTTCCCAGATTTTTCTTTGTTTTTTATTCCATTTTTTAAAACTTTGTATCATAGCAAGTGTAAAACATTTACAGAAAGAAACAGAAGAATATAAAGAACCCTCATATATCCTTCTCTGCTTCAGTATTTTTGAACTCATGTTCAATCTTTTTTATTTGTGTTCTGCTCCTTCCCCTCTTGATATTTTAAACCAAATCCCAGACATTGTATAATTTCTTCCATAAAGATTTTAGTATATATATCTAAAAGATAGACTCTTAAAAGAAATAATACAATGCTATCGTGTACGTAAAAATTAATATACAGATATCCAATCAGTCTTCAAATTTCCAGTTATCACTATTATTATAATTCATTTTTCTTTTTGCAATTTGTTTGAATTAGGATTCATATAAGGTCTATATTTCGCAGTTGGTTGGTATCTCTTTAAGTCTTTTAATCTATGAGCTGTCTCCATTCTTTTTTCTTTTCTTTGTAATTTGCTGGTTCCTTCCCTCCCTCCCCACTTCTGTTAAAGTTTCATGTTTCCTGGGTGCCACATGATCTTTGATCTCTCAGTGGATATAAATTACAAAGATGATTGTTGTTTTAAGTTTTATTCTGTTCTTGATATT